TTTTATTTTCTTTTACTTGTCACCAAATTCAAGTTTTTTTCTCTATCTATTTGTTTAGTGTTTTTATTTTTTAAATTATGAATAGATTTGAATATCTTTCCTAATTTTTTTCTCATTGAGATTATCATATGACTTTCCCCTTTTTCCTATTTATGAGATGAAATCTGTCTATAAATTGATTTTCAATGCTAAATCAGCATTGTATTTCTGGACTTAATATACCTGTTTATGATAAATTATTACTTTTATATATCGCTAGATTCAATTTGCTAATACTTGGTTTTGGATGTTTTTCAAATTATGTTCTTTAAAAAAGCTCAATATGTAATTTCCCTTTGTTTGTAATGTCCTTGACAGGATTTTCTATCAAATTTGTGCTGTCTTTCTTCATTAAACAAGAAGTAAGTGTTTCCTCTTTTTCCTATATGAAGGACACTCTAAGATTCATGCTATTTCTGCCTTAAATGTTAAAATAAATCACTGGTGAAGCCATTTAGATTTAGGTTTACTTTGTAAGAAGCTGTGTAATGATGGATGTATTTTCTTTAAAAGATATCATACTATTTATATTTTCTATTTTCATAAATGTGCTCTCTTTAATTTCATTGATATTATCATATTTATGTATGTGATATTTTTCTAAATAATCTTATACTGTCTTTTTGATGTCTGTAGGGTCTATAGTATCTTAGTGTATTGGGTGCTACTAAAGAAAATCTATAAATAATAATACCTACATCATAAAGTTGTTAAGGAAACTAAATTAATTAATATTTAACTGCTTAGGACAGTATCAGGGCACAGAGTAAACATATCAGTGTTTGTTAAAAGGTAGACATTTATGAACAGATATATTTATCAGAAAGTAAAAAAGTACAAATAGGGGACAATATTTTCCAAGGTAATTTGGGAATTGGAACTAAGTCAGTAGACTTCAGAAGGATGAGCAGTAAGCCTGCAGGTAAGGAAGTCAAGAAGAAACAAACCACATTTTACCCTAGAATCTCAGACATTACGAGCACTAGGTATCACTGAAGCAAAGATGAGGTAGAGTTAAAAACAAGAAGATTGGATGGCAATCTATATAAAATGTTTGATCCCCAATTCTTACGTCCACTCACATGCTATATGATTGCCCCTCCGTACCCCAGCAGAAGACCCTAGGTTTATTCAGAGTTTGAACCAGACTGTAGGTTTGGGAAAACAATGCACATTTGTGAGCAGAAAATTGAGAACTCTAGAATTCTTACCCAACTAAGCTAAGAAAATATTGGGTTGTTAGAGTTATTGCTCCAGGCAGAAGACTGTAGGAATTCCAAACGAGAAAACTGTCTCAAGAGAAAAGATGCAAAAAGACTGGACATTGGGGATTCAACAAATGAATATTAACAGTTGGGTCCTTGAAAGACCACCCTACAAAGAGACAGGAGTTGAAAATTCAACAATTCACAGAACTTCCAATCAACTTTTAATGTAAATATATTATGATTTGCCTAAAGGTACACAAATCGTAATTGTATACACTGATGAATTTTCTAAGTGAACATACCTACACAACCACCACTCAGGTCAAAAAATCGAACATTACCAGAACCAAGAGGCTCTTTCATGAGCTCAGGATTTTATTTTTTTTTAAAAGAGGAGGGTCATTAAATATGTATACATGTGGCTTCTTTCCTTCAAGATGTTTGAAAAATTCACCCCTGTCTTTTTATATAACGAAACATAGACTGTGCCTACTTATTGCTGAATAGTATTCCAGTAATGCATATACCCCAACTTATTCACTGTGACGTTGTGCTTTGTGCTGCTACTATAAAAATTCATGTAACATGTCTTTTTGTAAACATTTACATCTCTGTTTAGTTTATTCTTAGAAGTGGAATTTATGTTGAGTATGTAACTAGGAGTGGAATTTCTGGGTCAGAGATATTATACATGTTCAGATTTTTGTGGTACTGCCCAACAGATTTACAAAGCAGCCTGTGGAGAGGTCTGTGTGGAGAGAATTCAGGTTCATATTCCTGCCTGTTTCCAGCCAACACTCAGCACAATTTTTCAGCAGTAGAGTGGGTCACCTTGAAACTAAATGCTTCAAACCCCAGTTAAATTTCTCCTGTTTATGCCACATGGAACAGAAAGAAGCTGGCCCTACTGGGCTCTACCCAAATTTTAGATTTAAAATTAAATAAATAGCAGTAACTTAAAAAAACACTAAGTTTTTCAGCAATATTTTATAGCAATAGTAACTAGAACAAGCATTGATATCCAGTAATATAAGTCCTACAACTTCGGTCTTCTCCAAAACTGGCACAACCATTTTGGGGACTTGCATTTCCATATAAATAGTACTGACTTCTTCCAACTTCAGTCAAACAACAAATAATACTGCTAAAAAAATATGCCAAGATTTTGATTCAGGTTCCACTGAAACTACAGATCAATTTGAGAAGAGCTGACATCTTCAAATATTAAATCTTTTAATCAATGATTGCAGTATATTTCACCATGCATTAAGGTCTCTTAAGATTTCTTTCATTATTTTTTTAACTTCTCAGTGAGAGATCTTGTATGCCTTCTGTTAGGGGTACTCTTAATTATTTGTATTTCTATATTATTATAATGGTATTTTTAAAATTCTGTC